GAACAATATTCTTTTTGTTGTTGTTTTTTTCTTTTTCTTAATTATAATGCAAGAAGATAGATTGTCATTCTTTTTATTATGTAACTTTGATTTATAAAATGATAATAACTTGTAAGTTAAAAGAAAATATAAATCTAAAATATGAAGAACATTATTATTTTGTTTATAAAGAAAATAAAACATTTCTTTTGAGGGAGGTCTTCTGAGACAGGTGGAAATGTTTATTCCCCCTCAGGGTGACCCCTACAGCAGTAAGCAGGAATCATCACAAAAAGGGAAAATTAGTTGAGAGACGTTAAGTTAGAAAAAAGGTAGCTAAAAACACAAAAAACAGCTGAAAGAAGCAAAAAATAAAAAATTAAAAGCTTAAAATAGTATAATGCAGCTCAAAGAAGCACATAAAGTTGAAATTAGCAGAATAGCAGAAATGAACAAAATGATAGCTAAAAAATTAATGAAAAAGAGCTAAAATCAGCCAAACAACGAGAAGTTTTTTTTTAAAAAGCAGAACTAGAATAAAAAGTAAAAAGTACAATAAGCTTTATGAACATTTTGAAGGACGCTGAAAACAACTATTTGTTTTTAATGTGAAAAAATGGCCAAAAAAGCTAAACATCTCAAAAAGTATAAATTGCTGAAGCAACAAAAGTCATAGCTGGAATGTCCTGAAGGAGCTGAAGGTTTTGATATAGAAATTGTTGTATAAAAAAATATGCCAAAAATAAATGCCAAAAAAACGTAGAGAAAAAAAAGGATCTTAATAGTAAAATGGCTGATTGACTTTATATTTACAGAACATTTGCCACAAATAGTCCTAAACTAAAACTAAATCTAATAACTACTACCATCTACTGTGCTGCCTTTGGGGTTCTTACAGAACAAACCTTGTGGAAGCAAACTTTGTGTCACCAGTTTTGTAGCTTTTTGTTTGTAAAAGATCAAAAGGTAAACGTGTTCAATGCAACAAGAAACCAGGAGTAAATGTGTTACAGTTGACTGAAATTAATGTGCATTAATGCAGAAACTATGTGAGACTGAAAAACAGGAAGTCTAAGGGTAAGGCAGGTGTTTCCTTTCCTTGTTCCTCATGTGTGTGCCATAAAATAGGATTGTGGTGGTTTTCTATAAAATGTGCATTTTTGCTGAGAAACGAAACAATCTCATCTAACTGACATCAAATTATATTAGACATGGTTTTTAGGATGTAAAAACAAGTGTGCATTGCCTTGTAGCATGTCATTGCCTGCAGCAGTGGGCTTGAAGAATGAACTGTGACCAAGTTCAATTGTGTTTTCTACCAACTTGTGCTTGTCAAGTCAGCAGGTGTCTGTAATGAGGGTAATTGTGTAACAATATGAAGTTTGTAGAGATTTTTTGTTAAAGTTACTGTAACTGAGTTTTGAACCCTGCTCTCCCACATGAAAGCTCATAGACCTAACCATGAGACCATTGGAGCTGTGGCAGTGGGCACTGCGAAGGGTTGGTTTGTATGTATGCAGAAAGAGAACACATTGCCAATGCAATTGTTGACACTAAACTGCAGTATACAGTATTACAGCAATAGAGCAATATTAGGAAAACATTATGGTAAAACATCAAAATATAATCATATTAGTATTATAAACACTGAACTATTGAGATTAAATATTATTAAACTATGATTCAGTGTTGAGTAGATACAGCAGGGGGCAGTATTGGACCAATACAAGGCTCCATTGACTCCCATCATAAATTATAAAACATTAATATTTCAAAAACAATACGTTTTACAGGCACCAAAAGGCATAGCCATCATTTGGCACAGGAGCTTTACAGATATAAATTAAAATGGCAGCTTTAGGACAAAGTATGCATGAGGAGAAGCATGCTAAAGTGGAGATGACTTGGATGGGAAACGAATAATAATAGTGTGAAAAGCGTTATAGTGTACTGCAATCAATGTTAAACTGTATAGTATCTGCAGGTGAACAATTAAAGAGTTCTTACCATCAAGTGATTGTAAGAAAAGCCTGGAGGATAGTTCCAAAAACCACCTTGCTGCTTTATGAAGCTCTTTTCTTGCTTTTTGTGTGAGGTCTGCAACAGAAGAAGAGTTGGAAGCAGAAACTACAAACATCTAAAAAACTGCAACGGTACTCTGGTGAAAACAGTAAATATCGTGAGCAAATTCTAAAGCACAAATCTGTCGCGATAGTTTCCTTCTGAAACGTTAACCCTGATTTGTGGAAGTGAGATCAGAGAACAGAGCGACCCAAAGACTCAGACAGGAAAGACAGAAGTGAGAGGAAGGAAAGACGAGACAAAAATGAACAAAAGCCACGAGCCAGGTGGATCCATAAAACTGATGCTCGGAGTATTTGCCAAATATCCTTCAGCTGGACTGAGTTTGCCACAAATGCTCTTGTTTAACATTTAAAATAAAACGTGACACCTTTCTTACTGTTATATTTACCTGCTGCGAGGTTTTCATTTTCAGCAGAAGGAGCGGCTCTGAGATAGATGAAAGATTTATATTTCTCCTGCTGGATTACACTTGTGTCGATGGTCACAGCCTTGTCCAACGCAACCATTTCATAAGTAATAAAAAGACAACCCCTGCAGAAAGGTTAATAGAGAAGTTACACAGGGATTAATTCTTTGAAGATACACTGCGAGATTAAGATTTAACTTTTGAGGCGTGTTACAATTTGCATATTAAAGATAGAAAACTTACCCAAAGACAACTGCGCCTGTTACTTTAGCTACTTTCCCTAAAGTCATGAGAAAGAAAATCAAACTTAGTAGACAGTTTGAAATGTTGACAGAGATTTTTTTATGGCACTTATTGAATCAGGTGAGTTGGAGCAGGAAAACAGACCACAGTTTGACTACCATGTCTTAAATATTTTAAATATACGTAGGCTATATGGTTTTAGTTGTTTTCTTCTAAACTGTTTTTTTTAACTAGACTGCTGACAGAGGCAGGCGAATAAAATGTGTAATGACTTACTTAAAGCTTTCCACTGGAGAACTTTGTTCACACCAGGAGGCCCAGCTGAGCTCAATCTACGACAGTGGATCAAACGTAAAGCTGCAACAGACATCCTCCACCTCTCAGTCTGTGCCTTTATTATCAGACCACACAGAAACAAACAAATACACACATTTGTGAGCCAGGATTCTGGAAGAAAGACGTCCTCATTAGGGTTTWTTTTTTTTTTTTTGGTCAGCTGATGGTAGTTTTCAAGAATGTTCATTCATCCGTTCAATAGAGCTAGCTAACATAGCTAACTCAGGATTGTAGAAATTGGACGATTATATTTATTGTCAATTACTTTTTAAAATCTTTTACCTTTTGTCTTACACGAACACAACGAAGTCTGTGTCCAAACAAGGCTAATAACACGAACACGTTGCAAAGTAAATGACTAATAACATCGGAGGAAGTGAAATTAACTTAACTTTTTTCGGGACTTTTATTTTATATTAACTGTAATTCAGGAGCTTTCAGACAAAGGTTAACATATGGAAACGTTGGAAGATAACTTTGATAAATAAATTATATAATTACCTTCTTTAATAAAAGCCAGGTTTTATAAGAACTACGATCATGTCGGACTGTTCGAGCTAGTTCTCAACGTCGTCCCATAAATAATACGTCATCAACCGCAGCCGCGGTATTTTATTTTGAAATATTTGAAAATTATTTCCTTTCCATTTAAGAAAACATTTTTTTTTAATTTCCTTTGGCTTCATTCGTAAAATGTACAAAAAAATGTAAGCAGTACTTTGGTATTTTTATAGTGTTTTGTTGCTCTGGTTTTATAATACATTACTGTCACAGAAGAGAACAAAAAGTCTCAACTTTCTCCTCTTTTTGTTGAACCGCATCATCTCAGAATAACTCTACAATAAAACCAGTTCCACTATTTGTCATAAGTTATTTTCTCTTTATTTATACCTCCAGATGTTGTTTACATCTGCACAGAAAACCATTTGATTTGAGATTTTATTGCATTAAGTTAAGTCCATGAAAAGTACAACAAACTATACATGAAAAACTGTTCACACCTAATGCACGCTTGGAGTATCCTCTCACACTTGTACATACTGTTCATGCAAACATAATTATTAGAATTTTACAAAAGGCAACTCAAAATAAATGGCTCCCAAAACAAACAAATCACATCATGTCAGGTCACTTTTATGTCTTGCAGATTAACACACCTCCCTTATTTGGCTGGCATTATAAAACATTTGTGTGTGTTGTTGCATAATTATTAACCTGCGGTACACGTTTCTATGATGTAAACTTAGCAAACAGTCCAGTTTGAACAGTGGTTTAGTAATAACATCTTTTCACGCAGTAGCCAGACAGTTTCACATGTGTCAAAGAAAAGTTAAGTGTTATATTTTTAATGAAAAGTATAAAAAAAATTGTATTTTTTAATGTGTTGATCAGACCTTTGAATCGTTGAGTCCTTTGTGCTGTAAATTATATGAACATCCATTTTTAGGTCATTCATGTTTCCTGTCAGGTGGCTGTCTCCTGATAGGCCCTTATGATGCTCTCATAGGCCGGAGGTGGGGTCTGGGTCATGCTGAACCCCCTCAGGTTGTTGTTCCCCCAAAACGACTCACGTCTCGGCGGGGTGGCGGGTGACCGGTCAGCGGTTTGAGCCGAACCAGCCGAAGTGGTCAGGGTCAGCATCCGAGGCAGCGTGGTCTGGCTCCCCTCCTCCGCCTCCCTCGCGATCTGGCTGCACTGGATGAGAGGGTGGAAGGTGGAGGCCCTGAAGCTGGATTTATGCCCCACTGCGTCCAGGTGGTCCGGGGAGGAGGTCTGGCGGTGGAAGCTGAACGCCGCCGCGTTCAGTAAACTGTTGTTGCTCCTGCGGTCGTAGCCGCTGCTGCTGCGGCAGAAGGCCGGGCGACTGCGGGGGGAAGAGTGTGAGGTGCGGGGCGGGCGTCGGGTGATGCTGGCAGAGCCGGCTCTGCGTCGACTCATCCACGTTAGGATCACATAAACCATGGCCCCCAGGAGCAGACCCACAGCAATGGAGACACAGAAAGCTATAATTAAAGGAACTGGAAAAGAAAATAAAGGAGATTTTGAAACACTATTTCTTAATCATTAGTTATTAGAAGTTCTGTTTCCACTAAAGGCCACATGAGCCTTATGGTGGCCCTCAAAGGGCCAGTAATACACTTTGACTAAACACGAAACATCACATTCCTCTACAGCTGAGCGCTGCAAACAAATGATAACTGAGCTCTACCTGGTATTTCCTGCATAGAAACAGTGTTTTAACACTTCCTTTTCTAAACACTAAAAAGTACAATTGACTAAATATGAAATAAATGAAACAGAAATACAAAAAAAAATTAGAAAACCTTTTTTTTGTTAGGCCATGGAAGTCACCTATGGACCGTATTTGGCCCGCAGGCCTTGATTTTGATATGTGTTCTAACTAGTAAATTAAAGAGTTTTTTTTGTACAAAAGCATTGATTCATCCATCATCATTTTATTTAAGTGGTCTTAATAAATATGGCTTTGTAATTTCTGAAGATCTTTTTTTAAGTATTTATATTCAATGACTGCCTTGTCTTGAAAAATAAAGACAATTTTTTTTTATTTTAAATGTTAATTCTCTTGAATTCTGCCCAGTGAATCATTTGGACAAGGCTCTTAAATTAAAAGGATGAACTTAGATAAATCTATAAAAGTCATAAATAACAACTTAGCAAAGATCTTGCTTTAAATTGGATCTAAGGCACTTTGTTGCCAACAGTCAGTCACAAATACTTTTATTTATATACTTAGCACAATAATTAAATAAATTTGTGTTTGGTAGAATATTTCTTTGTTGTAACATTGGCAATAAATATTACAGCAGTACCAGAAGCTCAACAGCAAAATAAGCTGTTTGGTAAAGAAGATTTGGCAAATTTTTCATGTGTGTGACCCACACACTCAGCTCTACTCATTCCACAAATGCATGCTCCTTACAAATGTGGCACCATTTAAAAAGGGAAATGAACAGGCTTTCCGATAGCATAAGATTTATTACCAAGAAGCATTGTTAAAACAAAGAAAAGAATACAAATTTCTAAATTATTTAGTCAAATAAATGAAAAATACCAAACAGTGTTTGACCCATAACATATTCAGGAGTGGTTTATTCAGCTCTTATTTTGAAGTACAAAGAGCAAGAATGAGAATGCTACAGATAAGATAACTCTATTTAGACTTTTTTCAGAAAAAAAAGTTTCCTGTCAAGAATAAAACCAAATGTTTTCATTTCACCACTAATTTAGGAAAAGAGGAAATGAAACACCAGTAAAATACTGAACGGATGTGACTTTTAGAAAACCTGGAGGGATACAAATGTTAAGTTTCATGGTTTAAAAGTGAGTACGGTACCGCAAAAATGCATCTTTTTTGTAAAGTCTGATTTCTTTTGTATTAAAAGTTGTTTAAAAAGCAGCCAGGCAGACATATTGTAACAATTTCAGGAGTGAATCAAGCTTGAAATTCCTGAGACAAAACAAGAGCAACCACAAACAGAAGAAGATGGAAAGTTAGAAACTCACCAGCATCAAAGGACTGCAGAATGTCCAGAAAGACATTTGTGCTGTTTTCAGCCATGACATGAAAAACTGTTTAACACTTGATTTTAAGCTTTTTTTTTTCTGTTTAAACTCCTCTCCCCCCTTTTCCCCACTCTATGTGAGTTCTTTTTCTTCTCTCCTGATGAGTTTTCCTGTCTTTCAGCCTCGTTTCTTTCCTGTTTCCTTGCTTTCCTCTCCCTCTCTACTCCTTTCCCTCACTTTCTCCGTCTGCACTTGTGACTCTTTTTTCCAGGACTGGACCTAGAGGCGTGTGGAGGAGACTGACGGGCAAAAAAAAAAAAAAAAAAAAAAAAAAAAGGCCTGGCAGTCATCTTGTTTATGGAAGTGGAAAACTACACTGTCACATTTCCTGCCTTTCTGCTTGAAATTAACAACAGGAGTGGCTTATCTGAACAGGACAGAGATCCTGGAGGAGGAGAGGCAGGGTGTTTCTGCAATCACTTCCTTTTCTCCTCATTTCCTTAAGGTTGACAAATGGGAAAAAGTTATCATATGGCGAGTATGCAGGCTTGCATCTTTCTCTTTTTTTTAATTTTCACTTTAGGAGCACACTGAAATCTAAAGGTGGAATAGCTTTAATTTTTATTGAACTGTTTGGTGCAAATATGAGCTTACTATTGCACATTTTGAACCAGCTTGCAAGGATGTTTGCATTAATTCCAGCCTTTCTGATGGTTCTTTCGTTTAATTTTGTCGGTGTGTGTGACTGCAAGGCCTGGATTGGATGTGCACTGGTGAGAACTCCAGTAAAAACATAGTTTTATTTGTTTTAGAAGCAACAAAAGCTGTGCAGCTGTTTTATTAATACAGTGAGTTTATAAAAAGTCCAAATACAATGAGGAAAAGCAGTTTTAATCRAGTCAATGGCAATTCTGCAAGCCATCAGTGCAAATGACTAAATTAATTAAATTAATGACTAAATTAATGAAATTTTTTGCCTTTCTTCACATTAACTTATATATAACAAAACAATGTGTCAAAAATATTGACTTTAATGAGATTTTACTTGACTAACAGCCTCACAACTGACTTACAGGCAACTAGTGAAAGAACAGCCAAAGCTTGAACTTCCTTTAATTGTTGGCTCTGATGTTTAACTTGTTAAAAAAAAACAAGCAAACTTTCATAAAACTATAACCATTGTGTTTTCTTTCTGTAAAGCAAAATCATTAGATTTCAAGATTCAAGGAGTTTTTATTGTTGCTGAACCAGTGACACGTCCAGCAAGTTTCTCTTCTGGACCTGTTACCT